TGCTTTGGATTTCTTCGCCTGTTGTGTTTTCTTGACAGAAGATATTGGTTTTGCTGTGATTTCTCTTGGGTTTTGAACTTTTCCGGTTGTCTGGTTTTTTTTAAATTTTTTTTCGAGCCTGCGTTTTTGGAACCGCGTGGCTAGTGCTGTCGTCACAGACTGTGCAGGTTAAGAACCTATTTTTACCTCCGTCAGAAAGATACACACAATTTTGTTTTTCAGAACGAATCTGCAGACGCAACCGTTCATCCATAGTCACCAGCAAATAATTAATTCCCCTGGATTGCGGCCCGCAGTGAGATTACCTCCCCCTGGCTGCGGGCGCTCTACTGGCCTGTAATGGTGGACGGTGGTCTGCAGACTTCAGAGACAGCTTGCACGTGTGGACTTTGTGATTTCCCTCACTAGAGCCTTGAATCCCCACTCTTTGTGTGTCACGGTCGTCGGGGAAAAAAGGAATGGAGAGGGAGATTGCAAGAGTGGTTTGTTCAACTATACTCTCTAAATCTCAGTTTTGGTAACCAACAGTGATCCTGAAAGAGGAACATGCAAGGCAGGTTTGAAGGGAGAAGAAGAGACAGCGAGTCACACAGTTATGTCTGTGAGGAATGTTGGCACTGAAGCTATTTTTAGACCTCTATCAATCTGAAAGGTTCGGCTTGCAGACCTCGTCTGTTCTTGGCGGGTCACTTTGGTGCGTGATAGCTTTCCTTAAATCTGGCGTGCTGCTGGTGGGTGGACTCTCTCTCTCTCTCTCTCTCTCTCTCTCTCTCTCTCTCTCTCTCTCTCTTTCTTTCTCTCTCTCTCTCTATCTCTCTCTCTTTCTTTCTCTATTTCTATTTCTGTCTGTCTCGCTCTATTTCTTTTTTCTTCACTGTGGTCTCCCTCTCCTTGTGGCGCGTGCTCTCGTGTCTGTCTGTCTGCCTGTCTGTCTGTCTGTCTGTCTGTCTGTCTGCCTCTGTGTCTGTCTGACTGACTGTCTGTCCGTCCATCCGTCCGTAGGTCTGTCTGTCCCGATGCACTGACTACCACATCCCGCAGTGTCCCGATGCACCGACCACTCCATTCACCCCCACCTCCCCCCGCCCCCGTCACGATGTACCAACCACCCCACCCCTGTCTACCAGCGACCCTCTCCGCCGATGTTCCGATGCACCAGTTACACAGAGAGGGTTCTTCGCGTTTTCCCTCACGACAACTTGAAACCAAACTGTTATGTCTCTACACGTGGCCGAAATATTTCCCATCTCCTGCCAAGACCAAACAAACAGTTTCCTCTCAGAACGCCTCTACAGTCACAAGCAGGGCTGCCGAATTTTTTTCGGGGGTGGGGGACTAAAACACACGAAAAGATACATAGTTTTAATTTCACACACACACACACATACACACACCCACATACACACGCACGCACACACGCAAGCGCACACATACACACACACATAACTTACATGATATTTGATCGGGACTGAAATTCTGAATTCTGAAATTTAAAATAATGATGCAAAATGTCTGAAACGTACCACAACAGAGGGATAGTGCACACTTGACAGTCTTGCTGGGCAAAGGTCAGACAGCACCAAATGTGCACGAAAGTACCAACTTCGACAGCCCTGCTCACAAGTCGCTTGGGAGTCAGTTACTCTAATGGTAGAGGAGGCAGGAGTATAGGACGAATGGGCGCCCGTTTCAGTGTTTCCGACTGACAGACGGACCAAACACAGTCAGACACACACAGGGCCCAATTCTAGGGGTGTCCGCAGGCAGGGGAGGGCATTTGTATTGCTGTCGGGCCAGATTAGTCTGGCAGGAGCGGTATCGATCTTCGTGTGAGCGCGCGTGTTTGTGTGCGTTAGTTCGTGAGTGTGTGCGATATTTGTGTGTGTGTATGTGCGCGTGCATTGTGTCTTGAGTGATGGGTGACTTTGGCGAATGGTTTTATTTAAGGAGATCCAAGGGGAAACAGTGTTGTCAGAAACGATGGCTTGTCAACGATTTGGTACCGACAAGTTTAGATGTTGGTATCTTTAGATGTATAATTTTGAAGCATGATTTTTTTGGGATAGTACAGCGGTGGTTTCCCCTTGACTTCCGCCGGTTTGTATATGGTTTGACTCCAATAGCCTTTGTCTAAAGAGACTTACCCTGCAAGGTAGCAAGGGGGGGGGGGGGTTTGGCGCCTCTTACCCGCCGATGGCCATGTCGTAGAGTTTTGAGGTATTTTATAGTTTTTTTTTTTTTTACGTATCCAGAAACCATGAGTTGTAAACCTTTTGGCTCGGTACTATGGATATCGCAACCCTTCGGCCTTGATTCCATTATACAGTTAGCTGTCCTACCAACTAACTCGCCTCCTCTCAATGACCATAGATGTACTGTCACCTGATTTGTTTTTAATATACAGTGAATATATAATGAGAGCTTTAATTGGTATGCCCAGAATTGTGGTTGGTGGGCACAATATAAACAATTTACGTTATGCTGATGATATAGTCTTGAT